AGGGTATTTTACTAGAAATCTGCACTTCAGTAGCACTTACATACATCGTACTTACTCCCTTTGTTTCTATATCCGTATATCTATTTATTCTGAAGCTCTTTGCTGAGAGATTTGTTAATATTTCATTTGAAGTATTTTCTTTTTGTATGGCCATTGACACTATCTAAAACAACCGTATACACTAATTTGTCAACAAGGTGAAACACAAATTTAGAACCTGGCTTTATTTAATGTTCAGATTTCTGTACAAATGAACAAATATTAAAACAAACAATGCCTCATCTTCCCCTTTAAACATAACTTTTCAGAACACTTGCAAAGCTAAAAACATCCTTAGTATATTTACAGAACAGGTAATTATAATGGTGACATGTTTTTGTTTAGCTTTGACCTGTAGTGCCCCCCCTTAAAGTTCAAACCACATTAAAATGCACAAAAATAATCGTTAACATCAACAATAACCAACGTTTGTTCTAGTGTTATTTTAGTATGATGTTATGATACAGTTGAGAGTAGGGTTGGGAGGGCGGACTCTGGAACGAGGGGAAAGGTTTAAAGCAGAGAAACGTCTCTCTCTCCATTAAGCAGAGCTACAGTAGGTGGATTGGATCATAATCTGCATTACTTTTCTGTAAAACACACTAATGCCTTTTAATACTCTGCATTTCCTCTCTGTTCTCAGCCACTAAATGTACTTCTATAAGCTGCTAGAAATGTCCCATTAACCTCCAGAACAACAACGTGGGGCACAGTTTCACAGAAGAACCCGGAAATGGGACTTTTTTTTTGATTAATAACTTTAATAAACGATATCATGTGTTATACAACATGTTTTGGAGTCTCAGGTTAAGCAACGACAATGTAAACACATGTCTCAAAATTAAAAAAACAACAAATTATTACAGCAAATAACACCACAAAAATATCAATATTGATTCCTAGATGTGTATATGCTGGATGTGCACTTAGTGACTAATTTATAGTCATTATTTTCAAGTGCATCTTTCTTTCTCTTCCATACATTTCCCTCTCTTTTACTTTTATTTTTTAATTACATTTTACCCGACAGAGGAGTCTGCCGTCCTTCACTGTTTAATTGCATGGAAAATTAAGAGACAAGTCCAATACATATCAAGCCATTGGAAAAATATTGCAGTCATTTTCCTCAATGGAAGTTCTCAACAATGTGATCTGTGCCTGTGTGTGGTGTGTGTGTGTGTGTGTGTGTCGTCGTGTGTGTGTGTGGTGTGTGTGTGTGGTGTGTGTGTGTGTGTGTGTGTGAGCCTTGTGTGTGTGTGTGTGTGTGTGTGTGTGTGTGTGTGTGTGTGTGTGTGTGTGTGTGTGTGTGTGTGTGTGTGTGTGGTGTGTGAGCCTGTGTGTGTGTGTGTGTGTGTGTGGTGTGTGTGTGGTGTGTGTGTGTGTGTGTGTCTGCATGCCTGTGTGTGCATGTGGTGTTTGACATTGCTACAGCAGGTGCTTTCTGTCAAGTGTTAATTTTGCACAGAGGACAGACTGTTCAGTTTACAGTAAAGAATGGTCCACCGTGCTGTGTGGTGTGGTGTGTGTGTGTGTGTGTGTGTGGTGTGTGTGTGTGTGTGTGTGTGTGTGGTGTGTGTGTGTGTGTGTGTGTGTGTGTGTGTGTGTGTGTGTGTGTGTGTGTGTGTGTATGTGTGGTCTAGCATTACTATACTTGTGGGGACCTAAATATGTTTACATAGTCACGTGTGGGGACTGGCTTCCCCTTCCCATTCATTTTAGGGTGAAGACTTGGTTAGGTTTAGGATTAGGGTTAGGGTTAGGTTTAGGGTTAGGGTTAGGCATGTGTTGGTTATGGTTAAGGTTAGGATAAGTCTCCAGGAAATGCATGTAAGTCAATGTAATGTCCCCTGAAGTGATTTATACATGGTATGTGTGTGTGTGTGTGTGTGTGTGTGTGTGTGTGTGTGTGTGTGTGTGTGTGTGTGTGTGTGTGTGTGTGTGTGTGTGTGTGTGTGTGGTGTGTGTGTGTGTGTGTGTGTGTGTGTGTGGTGTGTGTGTGTGTGTGTGTGTGTGTGTGTGTGTGTGTGTGTGAGTGTGACTATGTCATGTGTAGTACTATGTAGACTCCAATCTACTTTGTTTACAATTTAAATAAACTAATGGACAGTATAACCAACTCTGTCTCAAACTAAACTTTGGTTTCTTATGGTAAAGACTCCTGAACATTGGTCTATGATTGTATTTGGTTTTAAACAACTAACCCAGCCTAAAATATGTTTCCTTTCGAAACGTAATGCAGTTTAGTTATTTGGGAATGTGATTTTTGTATAAGTCCCAGCAACAGTACACCTTCAGAAAAAAATCCCAATAAACTAAAACTAAGAGAAAATATATATTTTTCAATAATTAGGAAACTTTTAGTTAAAGTTACTGGAACTTATAAACACTCCTTGGTGGTGCATGTGTGACATTCAGTAGCTCACAGGAAAATCAATGACTGCGTTGTGGTGTTTTTGCAGCCAACTGTCAGATTTAACAGAGTCCTTGAATGCAACCATCAATAAGAATTGTGTTTATGTTGTTGTAATAATTCAGTTGAGGGAAGTGACAGTTAAGAAATGGAACCATACTGTTGATCATTGAAGGACACTCCGACATGTGTTTTTTTTTTTAGGGAAAACATGTATTGGATGCTGATTAGCTAGGTTTTCTATTAATCAAACCATATTCATCACAATATGATTTGTTTCTGGGTTTGATTTAGACAAGTTTAATGACTGTTTCGGAACAGTTTCACAATCAAAATCACAGATGCATGAGAGTCCTGAATGCAACAAAAATCTAAACAAATGTTGACAAGATAATCTCAACTCAGGGTCCTCTTATATTTATTTTTCCGCTACTTTTAACTGCAACTAACCCTAATCCAAATATTGATAAGACAATCGAAGCATTTCGCTGATGCTTCCATATTGTTATTGGCTTGTGTAAACTGTCATCCAATCAGATGTCTTGAATCTGATTGATGGTGGAAAAATGGGCGTGGCTGAGATTAATGTTGACTATGTGAGCTACACCGGCAGCAGCAGATCAGTTTACGTGTAATTTATTTATGTTTTCCCCTCCGTCTGTCTCCTCCTCCTTCCCTGCTCATTGAAACTAAATTAAGGAGAGAGAAGGAAGGCTCGTTAAAATATAAAAGCCTTCCATTAAAAATGTACGCCACCCTGTCTGTCTCCCTCGCTGCTGCCATTTTACATTTGGGACTCAGGCAGATTGATGAAAGGCAGAGAACGGAAAGAAAAGACGGGAGGCAAATAATAAACAAGGGAGCAGAAAACTTTGTATGGAGGGATAGACGCTCAGTTTGAACACACACACACACAGTCAGTCGGACATTTTGTGATATTTGCATGGAGCGAGAGGGGAGTTCGGCATGTGGTGGGCAACACCTTCCTGTCAACCAGCTGGATTGACACACACACACACACCCAGAGGATTTGATGTTCAAAACAACTTTATGTATCGTTCAAAAGAGTTTTAACTGACAAAAAGTATGTATTCCACGAAATTTAAAAACATCTGTTGTACTACGCTCCAAAAATTAATATATTTAAAGATCCTGAAAACATTTGATGTTTTTTTATTTATTTATTGTATTTCTCTTTTTTATTAAATGCAGATTATTACGCTTTACAGGCACACATTGTCCAAAGTGCTATTTAGATTACTTTCGTTTAAAACTTTTTTTTATCAACATTTTACACCAGATAATATCTCTCATCATTAATATCAAGCCACTGTCCCACTGATATTGTCAAAGTAAAAAGCTCAGGGAGAGGAGGGAGGGACAGACCATTCCAAACAGCAGGATGCCACACACACACACACACACACACACTAAGAGAGCCCATCTCGTGCCAAAACAGTGAGTCCCTGCTGGAAGCTGCTCGGTGCTCTGGGAATTAGAAATCCCACAATTAAACATATGGGCATTAAGATAATTGTCAGTTAATGTGCTGCAGTGTGTGTGTGTTTGTGTTTGTGTGTGTGTGTGTGTGTGTGTGTGTGTGTGTGTGTGTGTGTGTTTGTGTTTGTGTGGTAGACAGATGGATAGGATTCAGCCTAGCACACTATCACACCCCTAAAATATATCCCTGAAAACACACGTGAGAACAAGAAGACATACACAAGTCCCAAAAAAAAGGTGTAAATATACATGTCAGACATGCAGATATGAACCCACACACACACACACACACACACACACACACACACACACAAAAGCACATTGGAGGAGCAGAGCATCTGAGTAGTACTTGTACTGGAAATGAGAGAGAGAGAGAGACAGAGAGAGAGAAGTAGAGAGAGAGACGAGAGATGAGAGAAGAGAGCAGAGAGAGTGAGAGAAGAGGAGAGAGAGAGAGAGAGAGAGAGAGAGAGAGAGAGAGAGAGAGAGAGAGAGAGCTTTAGGTTTAAGGAAGGCAGAGGATGCCCTCAGCAGGCCAGTTAGAGGACTACATCTGGACATCTGGAGGAAAAGAACGAAATAAATTATTCTAAAAAGACAATTACAGTATTATATTTCTTTTCCAGTGTTGATTTGATCACTTTATCATTTCTTAATTACTTGTTAATGCTGAAGTGACATTTTATTTCTTTCTTCACATATGGGTATACTAAATGTATTAGTTGGTTCATGGTATTTGTATTTTCATTTAATGTGTGGATTGTTTGCTCCAAATCTAAAAGACAAGTGAGTAACCTACTTTTCAGTAACCTTATTCTAGTTGAGAATTCTTCTTATTCAAAGTGTACTTAAATATTGAAACATTTAAGTATTTTTCCATCAAATTGAGGATTAATCCGTTGCTGAAAAACAGTCCCAATACTGCATTGTATTTGTATATAACATTTTGAATTACCCTTTCTAAAAAATAAAGCAGACCCCAATGTGAGTCCGAAAGAGTTAGAGAGAAGTTAGAATTTAAGTGTACCCCTCTTTCCTCTCTGTTCTCCAGGGAGGCTCTCACAGAGAAGACGGCAGCAGTGTGGGCCCTCTGCGTGGGGGCCACTCGATGGGGGGACCGGGGTCTCAGCTGGCGGGGCAGTCGGCCACCTCGCCGGACCTCAACCAGCCCGACCCGTACCGCGGTAAGACCCTCCGCCATGTTCAAACACCACTCACACTGAGACACACTGAACACCCCACAACACCAGGATTAATATACTTCTGATTCTGTGGGTTATTCTGTATTTCTGCTTCGTGGGTCACATCACTACTTACAAACACTTACAGATTACAAGACAAGTTCGTCAAAGTGTTTTTTTACAATTCTTTATTTAGAAGACAGTTGAGAACATTTCACAAGTTACAATGAAATATACTTGCAGTTACAGGGAGTAGTAAACCTTTGCAATAATGGAACAGTATACATTGAAACCCTCCCCATCAAAGTGTTTTTTTATATTTTTTATTTAGTGAATGATGAGCAGGGAAAATAAATGGATACTGATGAATAAACGGCATCAGCATCTGTTGTTTTTGTTCGTGCTAAGCGTGTTTCCATCCCACTGGTATCCCATCATGCACTTCAATCACACTCAATTAAGTTTTCCAACTCTGTATTGTAATGACAAAATGTTAAAAAGTAAGTGATAAAAAACGCAATATCATTTGTACAGCACCTGTCTTTCTCTTGTGTATCAATAAAGGAAAATAGACATAGAATGAAAATAGGGTATAATACATAGACACAAATAATGACTGGAACATTTAAATACTTCATAAATAATTAGGATGACAGAATACTAAGAATGGGATTAAGTTTAAACAGAAAAAACATGATTGACATAAAATAATTGAGGGAAATTTAACAGCACTATATCCATTCTTTTCCATCCAGTTCTCACCTTTAACATTTTTTGAAGATAAACAAAATGTTCGAAGTAAGAGAAGTGAAGGAAAAAACTATATAAATTAAATATTTTTAACTTTTTGAGTTGCTATGTTTATATAACATTTTATACATTTTAATGTATTTTATTATATTTTTAACTCACATTCAGAATCAGAAATCAGAAACAGGTTTATTGCCAGGAGGTTTGCACATACTAGGAATTTGACTTGATATCACGGTGCATACCTAAAATATAAAAAACAAGACATCTAATATAAAAAAATTAAAAAAATGTTCACCGTAATAAAATGTAGTTAACTAGCAATAACAATGAACTAAAGCAGTAATTACATGGAAATAGAATGCTATGAATGAATTTTAGAATATAAACTATGAAATGTTGAAATAAGAATATGTGCAGACAGGATATGAACATTGTGTGCAGAGGTAAAGAGTCAGTGGGGGGGGGCCGGGGCCTTGTCCGCCGGTAGCGGAGGGGAATGCAATGCATTGTAAACATGGCGCTGTAACAAAACGATTTTCCAATTTGGGATTAACAAAGTATATCAAATCAAATTCTATCTAAATCTAATTAAAAGCAATATTAATGGAAAAGGATGGAACAATTGGAAATGATTCAAAACATAAAAAGTTATACAAAACTGTAAAAAAGGAAAAGCTTACCTTTTCGGTGATGAAGATGAGATACTGAGGGTCAGAGAGTTAACCTGCAGACTCGCACACAGTGTCAGATCTCAGCTGGCAGGCCTGGACTGCACCGAGCGGGTAAAGGACTTAACGAGAAGGGTAAATAAATATAGCTCGCATGTGTGATATGAATATGGAGGAGGAGAAGTGTATATGAGCGTGCTGTGGAGCAAATTAGCCCTGAGCGCCTTTTTAAAGGCTGAAAATGAGTCTGCTGGCAGAAAAGTTCAGCCAGCGGCAGCCGGAGCCAAGTGTGTAATGAGGTGAGAGAGAGAGAAACACACACACCCAGGCTGAATGTGGTCCTTATACTCACACACACACACACACACACACACACACACACACACACACACACACACACACACACACACACACACACAGCAAGTGGAGGCTGTAAATAGAGGGTATTAAAATGGTTTTGGCAGCAAACACTTCAAACTCAGTAGCAGAGCTGTGGTTTCCTCCTCCCCTCTCTCTCAATTTCAAAATAATTATGAACTGTACCGATTTAAGTTATATTCACATATACATCCCCATACTCCACAGTGGGGTGAGTTCATCCAAATTTCACACACACTAAACGTTGGCAATTGAGCATCCAATACGATTTCCCTTTGATATTGGCGTATCATAGTGGGCTGTTTTAATCATAATTAAACCTACAGTAACAAAGTGAAAGGATTTATTTATTTTCCAAAATATTTGTAAGTTGAATTTGTTGTACTCTGCAGTCTACCTAAAGCGGTTCGACAACAATTCCCCAGAAAATGTGGGTCGTAATATTCTAAATGTCTCAATGACATTGAATAATGCACAAGCTATTAACTTTACATTTTTAAAACTGTCACCCCTGTTTGTGTAGTTTTATCAGATTTGATTGACCGTGACAAGACAATCCTTTTTTTAATTCACCCACTCCATTAAGTTAGGTTAGGTTAGGGTTAATGTTTGTCTGACATCGGCTCAGCTGTTCCTAGGTTGAAAAACAATGGAGCCAATGATCCGCTGAAGGACAAATAATTAGCTAATGATCATCGGGGGACAGGACTTACGCCATTGCGGCAGTTTTGTCCAACATTGTAGTTAGTTTTTTCTCAGCCCTTCTGCGCTCTTTGGCTAATATCAGACCGAACTGTCACTTGTTACCCGCAAAATCAGAATGTTGTCCACCCATCAATGTCGACTTAAAATGTCATTAGATTCAGGCGCTTATGTATTTGATTTGCTGTTATCCAGCTGATTCGGTGTCGTCAAGGACAAAAAACAGATAGGATCATTCAAATAAGGACTCTGGGTAAGATATCATCTTTTATATATAGCCCTCGATATGTATTTTTGTCCCTTCCATTGTTAGTTTGTGTCTGTCAGACATACAAAGTCACTTTTCACAGTGTAAAGCCGTGATAAATGCTGCCATTTATGCACAAACACACATCGATTGTATGTTGAATGACACACACACACACACACCAAACACAGGCCGTCACAAAATGCCTTCAGTCAGGCAGACGGGGATTCAAAATGGCTGACAGTTGGCCGTGTGTGTGTGTGGAGAACAGAGCGGAGTGTTTTGTGTTAACGAAGTTGGCAGCGTCCCAGTGTCGGATCTATACAGAAGTCAAATAAAGACTGCTGTGTTCAGCTGAGGAGTCAGAGAGAGGAACAGAGGACTCACATGTGCATCACCACTCCTCCAAGCGGCCATCTTGAAGGGTGACGGCACAGAAATCTGCATTCAGACGTCTGCAGAATGAGCGGGAAACTGAGTGCCTTACATGTTCTTTTGAAACATTGCTTGCCTAAATTAGCTGTTTTATCCACATAAATATGCAGATTTTTTTAAACTTGTATTATTTCTATTGATTTCAGAACTTTTTCTAACACAGGCCTGTTCAACATTGCATTGTGTTTCGTTTTTTTGCGGGACTTGAGATTGCAATGACATAAAACAATAATGGACCCACTTCTGCTTTTCGACTGTCTAGAACTGTAATGCTACTTTCACCTGTGATGCTTATGGAGCACAATAACTTGGCACTGCAAAGACTGCTTGTCACTAACCGTAGACATAGGTCACATCAAATGTTAGAAACAATGGTTAATGCTGTCATAGTGCACGATGTATTTCAAAACTGCTTCCAAATTGTATGGGTCAAGTTTCTTTAAAATTGGCCAGATGTTTTTATGTAATCCTGCCGAAAGATAAACAAGTCGTCATGTATTTTATACCTCAATGTGGACGTTCTTACCCTTCCTCATCTCCCCCCCCCCCCCTCTTCCTGCAGCCATGTCCGGAGGCCTCCAGGGTCAGAGCGCCTCCTCCGTCAGCTCTGAGATCAAGTCGGAGGACGAGGGAGACGAGAACCTCCACCACGACAGCAAGTCCCTGGACGCCAAGAAGGAGGACGGGGACAGCAAGGACCTGAAGTCCATTGAGAGGTAAAGATCTAGGTTCAGGTTCCTCTCAGACGTTGACTCTCATCAAACCCCTCAGCTGGGCTGGTACAGGCTTTGACCAAAACACCTACATGCCCAGAGACCTTCCTTGTTCATTGAGAAAAAACGTTCTTTTAGGGGGTCAAGATGTTGGGTTTATACAAACTCAAGTTATCCGGGGCTTTTTCATACTCTATTTTATATCAGCATTTCCTGATAGGACAGGAATTGAAAACTGAAATGTAGCAATCTTTTGAATCTTAAGAGACACAAGGAAAGTCTTAAAGCTGTGATTTTTGTGGGGAACCAGCCTTTGGACTTTGATGAAGTAACTAAGTGTGATGAGAAGCAGCTAAATACAACAAAATATACTTGTTTTCTATAAAATCAGAGTTGTTCCTGGTTGGTCGCTCCATGGTCTTGAACCTGGTTTTAGCTGTTTCTCACACAACAGAGTAGAGCCCATGCTCAATATTCTCAAAGAAGTGATGCCTCGTATTCAGAGCTGGGGAAACAACACCGACAAAATCATTGAAAATTCATAATCTTTCATTATAAACATTAAAAAAATGGTTTGAAGATATTTCAAAGGCAGGTATAAAATCTACACACTATATAAGCCCTCAAGCCTGCTATATTTAAAGTAATACAAATATCAAAAGTGGTTTTGATCCATAGACTGTATACAAATAAGTGGACCTAGCCATTTGAAAAAGGGAAGACAATCTGGAAATGCCCTAAACTTGCATTTTTTTTCTAATGGTCAAAACGGGGTGACCACTGGTAGAATATACTGTATCAAAGTCTATGAAAAAATGACCATACTCACTGGATGTATTACCACAGTAAACATGTGTCTAATGAGCTTATGGTCTCAATCTTTAGCTTCAGGCCTTTTTAAATTAAGCATGATTTTTGTTTGGTACATTTTGTTCACATTTCAAGTAAAATACATGATAAATCAGCTTGTGGTTGACAGGTTGTAACACATCGTCTCTACCCTTATTGTCCAAATATGGTCACTTTTAGCTCCAAAAACTCAAGGGTGTGGTCCCATAGGCTCAGTCCCCTTTTTAATACATTCTATATTTTGTTTACGGTGTTGTTTTCCTTCCCTGGATGCAGCTGAGCAGCTTTCATCCTCCACCAATATTTTAATCTGGAGTAAAAATCTGAAACATTTGGATCCCAAACCCAGAGATTGTTCATGATGGAGGGGGTCATGATGATGATAATGATGATTTTGACGTTACAAACTGAGCTCTAACCCTCAAAACCTCCCCATCCTCCTCCTCTCCTTCCCTCACCCCCTGCTTCCTCTCCCCTTGCTGCCTTTTGTGCTTTTCACTGCAGCAACGCAGACGACGAGGACTTGTCTCCGGAGCAGAAGATGGAGAGAGAAAGGGAACGGAGGATGGCCAACAATGCGCGGGAACGTCTACGCGTCCGCGACATCAACGAGGCGTTCAAGGAGCTGGGAAAAATGGTGCAGCTGCACCTGAAGAGCGACAAACCTCAGACTAAGTTACTGATACTGCACCAGGCCGTGGCCGTCATCCTCAGTTTGGAGCAACAAGTCCGAGGTCAGTTTTATATAGAGACGCCTGACCTTCGACCTCAGTACCTGCTTTTATTCATCTATGTTAATTTATTGCGCCTAGACTGGTAGTTCATCATGATTATACTAAAGTTAAAAGAACACAACAATATAATGCATCTTGTTGTTCATCTTATACAAATAATAAATAAAATACATAGCAACTAAATGTATATAACAATAATAATACATTTGTAGTTTTTAGGCGCAATCCAGAGAATGACGGACAAATGTTAATGGTCACAAATCTTGAACCTGATGCAATAAGAAACTGTGTCTGCAGGGACATTTGTGACCTTAAAACAAAAGATTTCTAACATCCTAACTTCCAGTATTCATAAATCAGACTTTGATGACGGCCACGGCCTGGTGCGGTTTCAGTAACTTGGTCTGAGGTTTGTCGTTCTTCAGGTGCAGCTGCACCGTCACTTTTATCCATCCTTCCATCATGAACCATCTCTGGGTTTGGGATCCAAATGTTTCAGATTTTTCCTCCAGGTTAAAATATTGTTGGAGGATGAAGGCTGCTCATCTGCATCCAGGAAAGGAAAACAACACCGTAAACAAAATATAGAATGTATTAAAAAGGGGACTGAGTCTATGTGACATCACCCATTGGTTTGTGGAATACTGTTTTGACTGCTTGAGTTTGGCTATCTTGTGTCTTTGGAGCTAAAAGGGAATTTAAGGTAGGAATCATAGTTCAAGAAGTTAGATATCATTTAGCACATGTAGTGCTCTAAGAGCTCCAGGAGAGGGAACCACTGGCGCCTGTTGATTTTGTTAAAGTTTCAATACTTATGAACTAACACAGCATAAAGAAAATACAGTAAGGACAGTATGAAGTTGACTTTTGATTGTGTTCTGGTTTTATGTTTCAGTATTTGTAAGCAATTGTGACTGAAAGAAAATTGCTTTTATTTAACTTTTTATGGTTATTTCATTTTACTTTTCTGTGTTGTTATTTTTTTTAAGAAGGGGCAGGTAAAAGAAGATTAAGTCAGAGCCAGTAATCACCAGAAATAATCTCTTCCTCCATGTGTGCAGAGCGAAACCTGAATCCCAAAGCGGCGTGTCTGAAGCGCCGCGAGGAGGAGAAGGGCTCCATGTCCTCGGACGGCGCTTCGCTCTCATTGGCCGCCGCTCACCACGCCGCCGCCACCATGGGCGATGGGTCCAACCCCCTGGGACAAATGTAAAACGCAGCAACACCTCCCTGAACCCCTGAATGGTCAGAAGGTTTCACTTATAAACTAATCTGCTGTTGTACCTTAAACTCAAACCAAAGAGTTTACATTTAAAAACCAGACCAGAAACTTCAAGAAATTGTTTTTTATAGCATTCAGTTGCCATGAAATTGATGGCTAAGTAAACATGCCTCCATTGAAACTAATGTTATGTTGGCTCCCAATGAAAACAAATTGGAATATTACATTCATGCTTTAAGGGACAAAAGTTATATTTAAATCATTATGACTTAACATGTCGTCTGTGTACTGTTTAACCATTTGTTTCCTGGATATAAATAAATTATAAGCAAACCAAAATGCTAAAAAAATAAATAGCCAATCAGTAATTCAAACATATGTTAAAGTAAAAGTAAAGTAAAGTCAAAGCACTATTTTACACTTTCGATTAACTGATGACAACATTTGATTCTAATTATTGTCTTATGACTCTAGACCAGGGGGGTCAAACTCAAATACACAGTGGGCCAAAATAAAAAAAATGGGTACTAGTCGAGGGTCGGACTGGTTCAATGTTTATTGCGAAACTTATTGAAATGAACTTATTGCACATATTAAACCTGGAACTAACAAAGCTTAAAGTATTGCCTATAAAAACAACATGAAACATTAAATAATCAGTTGCATTCATGTCTTATGGCTCTATCTGCAGCTTTTCCAGAGTCATTTCTTATGATTACATTTTCCCACAGGCCAACAACAGCTTCAACAAAACTATTTCCCTCAAAGAGAAAACCAAACATGCCCTGTTGTCGTGAGAGAGAAAGTGCAGAAGGAAACATCCATTGAACTCAGTGTGCTGCTCTGTGATGCTAGCTCAGATACTTGGCATCTCATCTTGGGTGCAAGGTCATCAATGTTTGGGCTCAGGCTCTGAGCTGAGGAGACCCTCAGGATGGAGTGAAGGTGTGCGTGCAATATACCGGCGGGCCAGATCTAATAGTAATTTAAAATTATCCTGCGGGCCGAAATTAAATCCACCAAGGGCCTGATTTGGCCCCCGGGCCTCGAGTTTGACACATGTGGCTTAGAGGAAATACATTTTATTCTTGCAGTTGCATTATTTGTCTACTCTATTGCAGAAAAAAGGTTATAACTTACACAGACAACATGTTGACCGAATACTATATAGGTCAAATATATTTTAAAACTTGAATGTTTTTGGACAGGGTTTTTGTTTAGTTAGTTAGAGCTGATAATTCAGAAGGTCTAAAAATACAGGCCAGAACTTGAGTTTCTTTCTGGTCCGGGTACATTTTAACAACAGATTGGAAGTAAGTGTGATTTGTTTGTGTGACAGTGTGTGTGTTGTCGATGTTCTATGCTCTTAAAACATTGAAAATGTTAAATGCACATGTAATTAAATTCCTTTTCATCAAATCAACGTTATGTTTTTAGATGTTTAGATGTTTGTTTTCTTTTGGATTACAGTATATATCAATTTTTATTTTTATTGAAATATATTTTTGTTAAGTCATTTATATATTAATCACAAATGATTTGTGTACTTTGTGTACATTTACTTATGTCTGCTCTGACTGTAAACGTTTGGAGTTTCTCTTTAACACCTGAGGAGTTGGGTAAAATAAATAATGTTTTTTTTTAGGTGCCACTGTTAGAGCTACTCTTAAAGTTAAAATAGGTGTTTGATTGTACGGTAAGTTAATGTTCCTCCTAATCCCCTGTTCCTTTAATTGTTTATATACTTTTCAGGTCAAAGGTGCCAGAGTTCATCAAGATGATGAGTGACCACTTCCTCTGACAGCGTTTCCCTGCAATCGATCAACCACGTTGTTGCTTAAGCCTGACCAATCAGATTCTCTTGATCTTCGGTTTGACCAATCAGATCAGCCTCCTTCTCTCCTCTTGTCTGTCTCTTATCCTGCTCTTCACCTTCGTCTTCTTCTTCTTTCGGGAAAACGAACTACAGCGTCACGTTAGACGCTTTTGTTACTTTGCATCTCCAGCCGAAGTGAACTAGATGCTACTTTGTGGAGATGTTCAATGGCCGCCGTAAACATGGCTGCTGCAAAGTGGCCGTCTGTGGGAGCTTCTGACACAAAGTGACAGCAATGGACAAACTTCTTTGGGATCACATCATCCAAGAAATTCTTCTTCTTGTACTTCTTGTTTTATCAGCATTCCCAGTTTTAATGAACAAAATGGTTCTATATATAGTATATATATATATACGACAAAAAGGACAAAAAAGGACAAAGAACTTGTCAAAAAAAGGGCAACTGGACGCAGGGAGTTTGGAGGGTTTGTGTTGGAGCAACTTATTCAGAACGGAGCAAAACATATCACAACGTGTTAAAGAATTTTTGTTTTCTTTAAAGCAACATTGCGCAGCTGTTCTTGAATGCAGCGCGTCTCTGACTGAATGGCAATCTAACGCCACACTGTGGATTAAGCTGTGCCTGATCTCCTCTTGGATGCCAACCAGTCAGATAGAAACACACGGAGAAGCAAAGCAAGAGAAATTAAAAAAGAACCGGAAAATCCAGAAAGAATCACAGAAGCAAGCGGCCCACTCATACATCCCCTTACTAGCCACACATCACAGATTAAAGTACAATGTAAACAATATTAGGTCCTGATATGCCGTGTCATTCAAGCAGAAATTAAGTTTGCAAGCGCTTTTTGACTATCATAGATAACTAGAATCAAACGGGGCTAAACAGCAAAAACATGGGCAACTCCTTCTTCCCCTTCTAATGCATTCCCTCCTAACCTACTAACATTCACCTTAGATTAAAAAAAAACGTGAACGTGTTTATGTATTTTTAGCAGTGTTGACAAGTTGACTTTGTTTATGAAACAACTAAATTGTACCTACTTCAAACCTTTTAGGAGGACCACCATTTCAAAAAGGCTGAACAGTTGTAGAATGTATTTTCTGGAAGGAAGAGAATACTTAAAGAATCAATCAGTTATTCAATCAATCAGTGAGTGACTCCAGGCGGACCGGGGTGTTTAAATTATTAGAGGTAGAGGAATTACAGAAATCAAAAAAGAAGAAAGAATCATGCAGCAATGAAGAACTGTACTCTTAGACGTGGCAGGAAGAAAATACTTCTATTGACATCTTTGTTAAGGATTGTTTGAGAAGGAGTAGGAAACACACCTTTGTTAGATATTCGTCAACATGTGCAGAGTTTAAAATCATGTACAGGCCTTTTTTTTTAAATCAAAAGATTACCGGGCAGATGGTTGAGAGCATGGAGAGATCATACAAATGATACATGGATGACTGGATTAGAGGGAAGATGGCTGGACTGAGCACTGAAGTGATTTATATTCCATGTTTAGCACATTCCCTGAATCACCAATGCTCTGCTTGAATCGAGTGGTTCTGGAAGTCCCAAGCCCTGAACCATTAGAGTTGTGGGAGTCATAAGAAGAGAAAGGAATGAAGTGGGTCAACATCCCCATGAGCTACTAATAGAAGGGAGAGTATGGACAATAGAAATGAGAGGTCTAAATGATAATGAAGCTGTTGGGGAAGCAAGGGAACAATCGTCAGGGTGAATACTTTCTTCTGGGGGCCAAGCAGCAGAAGTCAAAGCATTCCTGTATTGGATGTATTAGTATTCCCTGGATTAGTATCTCGCCAATCATAACCCTAAACTTCTACCCTCTTAGACTCCTCCCCTTCCTGAGTACGACCTTCAGGGACTATCTGATCAAAATGTTCCGTCTTGCAGATAACTGACAGGTTCATTGTAGTTGAGGAGTCTGTTACTGGGACCTTACATTTCCTTGACCTTGCAATCCAGTTGCATTGTTGAAAAACCTTGTGTCTTGTTTTCTGCATAGCATTGTAGAAACTAGAGAATCAAGTATACTTAAATATCCCACAGTTCCAATTGGATTTTTGTTTTTGGAAGACTACTTTCTGTTCTGTTTGGGTTTAGACGAGCTAAGCTTGTTCAGAAACAAAACTAGTTGCGCTCCTGAGACATGGGACCCAATTTAAACAGACCATCGTCTGCTACAGTTAGGGTTAGCCCTCAGACACTTTCAGCCAGTCATGGCCCTCAAAATAAAACCAGTATACTCCTGTGTCATTCCTTGTGAGTCTGGTATCAGTCCAGCATGGGTTTTGCTCAATATACATGTAAATTCCAAACACTTTTTAAATCAAGTGACAAGTCCAATCTGCGAGCCAAACTTCTAATAAAATATGTTACTTCAGACAAAGGGTTGCTTTGTGATAGAACTTTAGAAAACTGTAAAAAAATTAATAAGGTCCGGATAGGTCATTAACAAAACCTTAAAGTGTGTTGCATTGCTAAGTATCAAGGTGTACTCCCCTCCAACAGGTGAAGTTATTCGGGAATATCTGCAAGAACTTCCATTGTTTTCTTGTATTCATCTGAAAGTCCCCTTTCACTTTCGTCCCAGTTTATCCTCTCTCAATCCAGGCCTGTGTTTTATATCCAGTCCTAGTTCTGTCTTCTCTGCTGACCCTAGCCTTATGATCCCTAAACCAGAGCCCGAGCCCCTCTTCCCCCCCCCCCCCCCCCAAGCAGACCCGCAAATGCAATTTGAACATTCACACTACCAATGTGCCTTTTAGAGTTCATATCATTCGAGTTGCCAGAGGAGGACATTAAACTGGTCTTTTAATAGGATGCAAGCTTAGGGAAACCTGTTCTTAGTCATTAGGTTCTATGCAGTCAGGTTTTTTACCAGACCTGGGAATTTAAAAAAAGCTAAAAAGGAAAAAAAAGTATTTTTTGGATAAAAAAAACTAAACTGTATTTAATGTACTGTACGCTTATATGTAAGTAGACAGCCTGTTCTGGCTCTGAGCCAATGAGACAGACGCTTGATTTAGCAGGACAAGTCCCTATCCCTGTCCTTCCCTGAGCCCCCCCCCCCCCCAAGTTTTCCATACCCCCCCCTGGTCCTAGCCCCAGCCCTGTTTCCATGGTGAACAACGCGTCTATTCTTGTATTATAGCTTATCAGCTTTTTATCAATATTTGATCGGCTTGTTCGTAAGCCAATGTAGTCTTCAGTACAAAGTGTGTGGTCGTATGTTGTAAAACAGATTTTCTTTTTCCTCTCTCTCTCTTTTTTAAGAAGAATCTTTTTTCTTATTACTTTTTCTTTGTCTGTTCTGGTTTACATGTCTATTATAGAAAATGTAAAAACAACAAAAACAAAAACAAACAAAAAACACAATTAGCTATCTGACAGCACCGTTTCTGTCCGTGCTCATTTTTGATGCGTTTTTAAATGCTACCCAATCAACAGGAAGGCACGGAAACTGGAAAATAATCTATTTGAATAAATCAATCTATATATAGATGTACAAAAAAATATATACGATATATAAGGAGGGGTGCCATTTTTTCTGTTATTTTTTTTATTTTATTTTCCAGAGGAGTGTTTGCTTGAGGACTTATTTTCTCAAAGATTGAACTGGCAGACGTTGGAAAGGCCCTTCAGTGTTACGAAATGTTCAACTGACTTTGTTGTGTTCTCTGTTGTTGCCATAACAACACCCTCTGACTAGTACGGCATCCTGCGCAGGACAAAAATGGGACCGGAGCGTCATCAGCTCCATTCACTGCTCTCTATCCAAGGCAACAACACACAGACGTTTGTAAATTGTATGCAACAAAATGGCAAACTTTACCATTATTTTGAAATTGTGTATGTAAAAGTTATATTTTTACATGTAGACTGTTGTTATTTTGTGTTTTAGAAATATGTTGTATCGGTTTTTTTGTTAAAATATGAAAAAGTAAAATTCAGTGTGTGTTGAAAAAATGTGTCACATTGAAAATGTAGTGCGGTCAAAAGTTCAGAATAATTTTTTTTTTATTGTTTCAAACATTAGGTTTATATCTGTGGGGTTCATGGGAGGAATCCGAAAACATAAAAGATATATGATATTTGTTTTATTCTCCATGCCTCATGACATTACCATTTTTAAATGTATTTTTTGAAGAGAATTGTGTAAATAGTCATAAAACTTTTTTTCTGTGGGGTGAAGACTTGCCAGTGAGAGGCGACGATGATGATGATCTTGTTTTCCATTTTTAGTGATTTTGTATTCGTCCCGTTTCAGTAGCCAGGAGCCAACTGTTAGTATGAGTCAGTGCTGTATGTGGTTTAGGTTGACCATCTGAAGTGGAAGTCAAATTATTCTCTGCACCAAGCATCACTTGTGTCAGAGCCGGATTAGGGCCTTTTTAGCGGCACATTACAAAATCATTTCGATTTTCATAAGAAAAAACGCACTGGTCACTGACAATAAAAAGCAAACCTTAGAGAAAGTGTCAAAGCAAATGAACAAGAACACAGATGATAACTGATATGATAACTGCAAAATACACTACCTGATTCTGTTATGTACCTCAAAAATGGTATTGTGATCATCAAAAAAAGAATAACAAAATTACAAATTGGTTATAACAAATAACTAACCTGTTTCAGAAGTAGCTATAAAAAAACTTAACTGAAATATCCAAAGACTGTTCACATATTTAAATACTTAATTAACCTGGTAGATTTGGGCTGGCTCTGACTCCTGTGCATTTATTCTCTTCACGATGGGTTGTAAATGTTAATAAAATGAAACCCCCTTAGCACCTAATTCAAGATTAATATATGAAAATGTTGTAAAAGATTGGAGCGCCACTAATATAAAAAAAGCAGGTCATCGGCAAACAATCTTATCAGCTATTTCCCCAAAAATGTATCAGATCATGTGCAAGGCAGTTTCAATCAATCAAGCTTTTTTGTTAAAAGGAAAAGCTGCTTTGAATCGGACCTTTAGGTAAAACACTAGGATTGAATCTGTCAGTGTAAGTGCTAAATGTATTTTTTACGTAATGTTATTTTTGCGATGCTTCATTTTGTATTTTCTCTTTGTTGTATAATCAAGTCATCTCCCGAATTACAGTATTTCATTTTTATGTTACCCCTGATGTTTCTATTAGCCAAATTGATACCTTTGTTTCTTTTCTCCCTTGTTGTACATACATGCCTCATTTCTCTTTTTCAGTGACTGTGCCATGAGCTTTGTAATCTGTTACTCTGTACCAGTTTTACTGCAATAATGAGTTGAATTCAAAATGGCCACTGTTGTTGTTTGTTTTCCCTGCGCTGTTAGAATCAGGAAGCATTTCTCATGATAGCACACCCATTTAAATGAACAGTTACAGTCTATCCAAAGGTTGGGTGTACTCTAGTCTAGACATAAGCACTCACCAACATCGGTAGCACAACAATTCTGAACGTTGGTTCAATATTTATATAACTACATTTAATTGAATTTTTTCCAATTAATAATTACACATTTTTCTATTAAACATTTCATACAATCAATCAATCAACAACTTTATTAATCCTGCAAGGGGCAATTGGTTATGAGCAGCTTATGTCATGTACACAGGCAGGAACATACAGGAAGAAAACACACAGATGATCAGTATGGATGAAAAAGTGATATAACTCCTGTGACAAACATCAACAATCAAAGGAGCCTGTTTTCATGTCTTTAATCGCTCCATAAGTTAAACTCCTGCCAATGTTTTAAATCTCTACTTGCCAAGTAATTCCCTAAAAGCATTGAATATTATTTAAAATTAAATAACTTACATTTAAAACAAGTTATACTTTTATGGGACCCTAACTTGTTAAACTTCAACAGTATTTTTAGTTTAAGTTCAGTTGAGAAATTAAAGTTTAGGGGCAACATAAGAAGTCATCTTTGAGACAATTCTTCCTAAAGGGGCCTAAATTGCTCGGTTTTATAAAGTATATTTAAAAGTACTTAATCATCTGCTATCAGTAAGACACAGCCTAAACTAGAAGCAGCAAATTCATACATTTTTGATATTCTACACTTCATTATATTTTGGATTATGTTTCTTCAACATTAAATGCCATGGTTTCAGTTTAGTAATTACTGACATACATTGTCACGACTAGGCAAACCAGTATGAACCCAAAAGTAGTGATGTAACGTATTGCGCCGAGACTTTGGAGCGTGTGTCGAGTCGCAGCGTCCACACGGCGGCGTGCGTTGAAGCTTGCCTGTGAGCTTGTCTGAAACTCGACCAACAACCAATCACATGAATCTCCCGCCCCGGACACACAAGCACGCGGTTTGATTGGCTGACGCTTCCGCCGAAGCTTCAAAAGTTGAACATTGCTCAACTTTTGAAGCGAGCAACGTGAGAAAAGCGAAGCCACGCTCCCACAATGCAGTTCGGCAAAGCGTGACGTCACCCCATTCAAAGTGAATGGGCAGAAGCGCTGAAGCTTCAACGCACGCCTCCGTGTGGACGGGCCGTAATCCCCGAAGCTTTTTATGAAGCATGTATCAAGGCTTGTATCGTTTTGGGCCAGGGACGTCACCGATGACAAACGAAGCCTCGCTGCCTGTCGATACCACGTGACTGCTTCAGAAAGTGCTTTAGATCGGTTGAACCACAACGCTCATAATACCCAATACCCGAACGATATTACCCCTCCTGTACCCGGGCCTGACATGATGGAATTAAGAGAGCTCAGACCCTCACTCATATAGAGGTCGGAACATGTCATAAGTATAAATAAATAAAAGCATAAATAAGTGTAGGAATAAAAACATGAATAAATACAGGAATACATAGAATCCAGTGTTTTCAGGTAGATTCAGTGTGTGGGCTGTGGCTCAGCTGGAAAGCAGTTGACTCACAACCGCAAGGTCCCTGACTCCCTGGTTCAACGGCTGGTCAATACGTCTTTTTGTTTGTTTATAAAAGCTACAGCTAAATGTGATAATGTAGAATAAATGTATTCTTTGGTATGGTTTAGCCTCTTTGCAATGTTTACCAGACTCTTTAGGCTTTTCAATCACAATCATTAAACTGAAATAAATACAATATTGTTAACATGAAAATATGATTTAATGTTCGTTGTTTAGAGTTATTCTAAGGCTTTACTCATTGGGAACTCTGTATGAGATAGAGCACACTGTTGAGATGTCCAATCTTCAAATGAAGCCTCATGAGATGAACTCTTTTGCGAACCAATTGGCTGGAAAGCTTCAAGAGGCTTCATCTCGCCATCACTACCCAAAAGCACGACTCGACAAACAAAGTACAAAAGAAAGTCTTTACTGAAAAAATGGCACTAAATGCACAACAGAAAATCACTCCGTAGTGATAACAGGTAGATAACAAAAAACACTCTTACAAAGGTTAAGGTTCTTACAAGGTACTACTACTACTCTACAAGGTTCTTAAAAGGTTACCAAAGTAGTTAAAAAAAATGCAAAAGATGAAGTAAATTCCAAACTAGGCTCTTAGCTCTTAGCTCTTAGCAGAAAGACATGGACTTGACACTGGCTGTCTGGCACATGGGACGAAACGAACTGGCAACAAGACAAGGGAGACAGGATCTATATAGAGTGGTGAAGTCCCTCCCCTTCCGGTGGACCTCCATGGAACCTTATTTCTGAAAAATTATGTATTGAAGTCAATGGAGAGAGAAAGATTATCTTTCGATCCCGTTTGAATTGTGCCACAAATTACACATATGATGTTTGTCAATTTAAAAGATAATTTTGCAAGTCAAAACTAAAAAAATGTGTCGTAAAACTGTGAAGTAACACATTTTTTTGTGTGAAACGCTCAATGAACTACATCTCCCATCTCGCAGAACAACACACGTCACCAAGATGAACGTCACTACTGTCTTGCCAAAGGGATTGACTACCCTCACTATCACCACAAGGAAACACGTACAGAAGAAGGCAAAGCTGCCTGCCTTCCTTTGATTCTCTCTGTCTGCCTGATCTTTTTAATGTTTAATGTCAACCATTTGTGCAGATAGCATGAAGTAGAAAAGATCGCTGATGCTAATGTAGCGTTAGCGTTAGCATTTATCCCCCGGGCTTAAATGGTGTATTATAGAATGATCATCACACCGGTGTGACAGTACTCTTCAAGGGTTCACGAAATATGGCTACTACTCTTACTGTTTAACATGTTGGGTTACTTAATGTTACTTCATGTTAAGGCTAATACAAATTACAAGGCTAAGGCAGGGTTGCCAACTTTGGGCACCTGGCTGGAGTGAGATTTTGATATCATGGGTTTAATTACACATATGCGCACTAAATGACTGCTATCGTGTCAGCAGCGGGACCTTAGCATATATATAGGATATATACAATATATAGCCTACAAATAGGCCTACACAATATTGGACACAGACTATAAAGGGCACAAAGTTTCATTCACTAATGAAAGTCAAACACATGTTTGTTTCCACTGTTTTATTGTGTGCCTGTCGCAATAAGCAATTAATTGACTTATCGTAGCCTACAATAAATAAAAATGAACTTGATACATTGCCATTTACATGAGGATGTGACTAGCAGTTTGAAAGGATATACTTGAATTATTATTATATATTATCATTATGTCAGTGGTCTAAAATGGTCATACAACGGTGCCGACAATATTATCATTTATCGCAATAATTTCCGGGAAAATGTATCCAACAAAATTAATTATCGTGAGAGGCTATATACATGAAACACACACACACAAACACATCTACAGACTCACTCCAAACTGCCAAATATATTAATTAACACACTCTCACTCTCATATACTCTTTGACTCTATTTTGGCCTATAGTAGAACAATAACCAGCAGACTTTTACTTTTTTATCATTTCTACTGGATCTTATATCTGCGCTTGCGCAACACACCTGATTGACCAACCGGCTCCCACTGCTCTGCTGTCTGTTAAGGTTGTTAAGAGTGTTGGGGGCGGGGAGGGAGCGGATCGACAGCTTGAGCAGCTGTCAACTCAAAATTGTAAATAACCAACCAAAAACGATCGCCGTTCATCTTGTTTTTGGCGTGAGAATAGTTTGGGCAGCGTGAGAGCGTGAGATTGAGAGTGAAAGCGTGTGTCACACGCCAGATGCGTGAGAGTTGGCAACCCTGGCTAAGGCTGTAATGCTAACTAACGTGCTAGCTACTAGCTAGGTAGCTAACTTGATCCAGCCACTCCTGGTCCTTTCATCAGACGGGAAGCGAAAGAACGAACAAGACCCATTGGTATGATAACAACCTGGTACTAAGCACACAGGCATCTTGTTAAAGTTATCTTATCTTAGCTATCACTTATTGGAGGAAAACAATTGTGACATCAGTTACTCTGGGATTTGTAGTCTTTCTAGCTGCGTATTTTTCATAGTCTTATATTTAAACAGTTTCACGACAAACTGTGACTTTTTTTGCATGGAAAGGATTTTTTAAGATTAACAAACATCATATGTGTAATTCATGGCACAATTCAAACGGGATCGAAAGATACGTTTTCTCTCTCCATTGACTTCAATACATAATTTTTCCGAAATAAGGTCCGATGGACCGGAATTAGATGGGCGTGACTTCACCACTCTATATAGGGTGTGTCTCACTTCGGTTATTTTTCATTTCCTCGCTCCTCGGGCTCGGTATCATCGGAAGTTGATTAGTCTGCGCCATCTTGAGTACCATCCCAGTGGCTTTATTTTTTAAAGAGGAGTGATAACGGGGGAGCGATAATCGAGGAACTACCAGACCATCCTCTGGTGAAATCCTCAGACACTCGCTCCGCCCCCTTACTGTGTATCGCTCACTGATTGGACGATGCAGCGCATGCACTGATCTGGCTGCTGTCAGACGATCAGCTGTGCGGCGTCATCACAAACGGACGTCGCTTCACGTGACGCTCCAGAGGAAACGACGTCCCATTGCTCTTAAAACTAATTTCCCTGCTTCTCGTAGTTTCCTTGCGTCTCTGCTTCCCTGGTGGGAAACGCAGGGAAAACGACGCAAGTGAGGGAAGCAAGGAATCAATTTAACCGAAGTGAGATGCTGCCTATATATAGGCAGGCTAAGGGGGCACAGGTGCAGATAATTAGGGCGGAGTCGACAATCACAGTGGAGGGAAAACACGCAAAGGGAGGAAGTGAGGTGATCTGCAACAAGAAGGAAAGGTTAAAATAAAACAGGATAAGACTGAACTAAAATACATTAACTTAACAGATTTTAAGAGACACAACATACATGTTCTTTAGTTGTATAAGA